TGTATGTGGGTGCGTGTATTATATGGGTGCGTGTATGTGCGGTTTCTGAATCTAATGAGCAATCTCTACTCCCCCTTATTATATAATAAGGTAGAAAACCACAAGGTATCACAATGTAGTCAAGCCCAGTATCTTGGAGTTTGGTCTGCGTTGTACTTGTGCTTCTGCCTTCTGCAATTCTACCATGTGGCAGATAAGATAGCGACCATTACATTTGCATACTATTATACAGCTCAACCAATGTCTACCATATCTACCATGAGAGACATTGGTTAACCAATACCTTTGCCCACAAGTATCCAATCACGTAGCTCTCCATGTGGACCAATACCAATACCGCAGCAATACTGCGGCAGCATGCTCGAGTAATACTATCCTCACTGACATTACCAGGTTGCCATGCTTCCATAAACAGCAATCCTCTCAGCTAATTAGTACCCACTGTGTGACTTGCAATCTTATTATTAGCGGTCTTGTATAATTATACTCTCGCAGGCATTGTGCTATTCAGCTCTCCATTATTATACCTGACGATTCAAACCGTTACACAATGACAATGTATTTATTCGCACATGCCTTCGAAATACCTGTGCGTTGTTAGGCAGCCAAATTTCACGCTATTCCTCAAAATATTTCAAATGGGCGCACATAACAAAGACAATGGTAATCATTTATTTCTTGAATCTAATCGGTATTCCATGATTTCTTAATAAATCGTTTACTTTAAGGAACCAGCGAGCCTAACAAACTCGTTGTAGACCAAAATTGAGCGAAAGATTGGTCATTGCGTTGTTCATATACATTTGCCGTTGTTAATTTTTAAGGCTCAAGTTTTGGTAACTTTCCATTGCTTATTTTTCGGATCTAAATACTTAAATGGTTCGTATTAGGAGATTAGGCTTCAAATAGTATTACAGGACGTGATCCATCTTACTGCTACGTTGAATTCTTTAAAGTCAGCATGTATTTTGGGAACAGACTACAGTATTTAGATAATAATGTATTTTGGGAACAGACTACAGTATTTAAATAATAATTCGGCCGACTCAATATTTTAAGCGAGTTGAAATAGTTTCAACTTGAAACTACGAGATAGCAGGACCAGATGTGAACCTTTGCCTTATGTAGTAGTGTCACCATGGTAACATTACTAAATAACATTACTAAAAATTGTTATTTGTTGGCTTAGAAAGGTTAAACAAATCTGTGAAATTGACGAATTGGCAGCAAAAAACTCAACAACTCGCTTGGCTGTTGATATTGTTCATTACGAAATAGCTCATTGGTTGTGTCCTTCAAAGCATGCGGCTCTGTATTTATTATTTAACCTTTATCAGCGCCTGTCTTGTTGTTGAAAAGCAGGCCCTGCTCCACCACAAGTATAACAGGTCAGCTACTCAGACCTCACACTCTGTTGATATCTCTTTAGGGAGATTTGTGGTCTCAAAAGTTTAAAACTAATCATGTCTGCTTTTAGCGTCTCCTTTCCCCCTATGTTTACAGTTAGACCCACAGGGACACGTTCTAAGTGTAGCAACTATTTAGTATGGGTTCTCCTTGTGACTAACGAAATATGATCACGTGTTCATACTACTGTATCTCGTTATAACTCTCTCTATGAACTGATGCATGAAAGAGAAGATGCTGCAGTGGCATGCAACTTTGTCTCCTCTACTTTCCATAAAGCTACATTTTTACACCATTGTTCGGTGCCCTGGAGGCACTTTCTGTTTTTGTGGCTTCAAAGTGTCACCAAGACGACGTGCAGCTTTAGTTCTAGTTTGAATGTTAGGTTTCTTTATTTTGCTGCTCATTAGACAGTTCATTACCGACTCATGACTCATGACTATGTATCTATATTTGTCCGTCTGTAACTTACAAACGGACAAAGATAGATAAAAAGTCATGTCGTCATGAGTCGGCAAAACTTACATAATGTAAGTTTAAATGAACAAATATTTTGCCGGGGCTGCCACTCCGTATTATATAAACAAAACCAAAACGGGACCCGCTAAGATATGGTATAATTGGCCATGTTATTGCTGGCCTATTATTTACATAAATTGTAAAATGCTTTTTAACTTTTTAAGTTGACTTGGATCTCAAAGTTGGTTCGGAGCCAAACGTTTATCTGCTATTTAAAAAGCTGTTTCTTTTGTTGTATTTTGCAAGTAATCTTGGCATGGCTTTGAGTTTGACTCAATAGCCTTATTCATAGCCTTCCCGCAGAAGATTTTGTTGATACCATGTTGTTTATATCACATGTAAATGTTGTGATTAATCATGATTAAGTGGTTACCTTCTAGCCACTTAGGGGCCACTTGTCCTTACGTTTTGTTATGAAAATATTGAATCGATGATGATGACATTGGCCTCAGATGGCTTTGACGTGTGCCTTTTTTCTTACCAGCTGCATTTCTGGCAACACTGTCGTTGTGATAGTTTAATATTTTACTTATTTCAATGGTATGTTTTTGAGCACTTGACAAGTTAAAGTAAAGAGGCCCTCCATCAAGCTAAGATTTATTTTCTTGCTGCTGCAAGAGCAAGCAGGCAAGTAAATATATTCAAGCTTACTAGTGATAAACAGGGGGCAGTGCAGTATATTGTATAAGCTTGTTGAAAACTGTCGCTCTAGGGGGTAATCGCCGTGTGTAAGGTCCACAATCCACATCTACTAAGGTCATTAGGTTTTCTTTGTTAGGAATGCATCTTGTTATATCTGGCAGCTGTTGTACGACAAGCTTGGAGATCAGTGTATTGTTTTCTTCACAAACATGAAGTCATTTGGCAGGGATATTCCAGCCAGTCGTGCTTTTAATTTCGCTTGATTATTCCTTTTCTTGAAAATATGATCAAACAATTTATATTTGTAGTGAGGATATTTGTTGTAAAAATATTTGTTGTTGTTGATCTTGCTAACAGCAATAAAATCTCCGGTACTTCGCCTGCAAAAATATCTTCCTCCTTCTCGGCCGAACTGCAACATTTTAAAACTTTTTAACGTCTCGGTAAATTCTTGCAATTTAATTAAGAAGTCTACTTTCCAGCAAGTTTTAACAAAGTGAGCCCGACTGAAGAACACCTGCTACTGCACGCGCTTGATAACAGCATTTTGTTCGGAGTAAGTTAGCATCAACTTTGGAGATTTCATATTGCATGGAAGAAAGAGAAAAAGAGGAGCAAAAAGGAGGGGAGACAGAGGAGAATGGAACGGAGAAGGACGAGAAGAATGATGAGAATGGAATGGAGAAGGATGAAAAGAAGGAGAATGGACAGAGCTGTATGAAGTGTAACGGATCGGTTACCAGACCCGCCTCACCAAGCAGTGACGAGGTTGTGGTCATCAACGTGGCAGGACTCAAGTTTAGGACCAGGAGGAGTACTTTGCAGAAATTTCCTGACACGCTTCTAGGTATGAGTTTACACTTTACCAATCAGAGCTGATTTCTCGCGTCAAGTGTGGATCTTTTATCGTGAAGAATTTGATACTAAAGACAATCTTCTAAAAATGTAAATTTCTGATGAAACATTAATTATGAATTAATAATTCGTAATAATTAAATTGCTTTAATCATAGCCCGTTCATAACCCGCGTTATCAGGCTATATTGTTATATAACGCCCTTATTAATGGGCCATGATTAAATCGATCTAAATTCTAATTATTACGAATTAGCGCGCTATTATTACGTATTATCTCGCTAATTGGACAAATTAGCTTTAATCACACGACAGGCAGAAGCAAACATTTTATCTGAAATCATTAATACATTATCCTGTTAAAGGCTCCAAAGAAATCGAGGAGTATTACGTGAAGGAAAGGAAAGAGTACTTCTTTGATCGGTGTAGATCAACGTTCGAAACAATCCTGTATTACTACCAGTCACCGGGCATAGTCTGCCTACCTTCTTCAGTTAATCCTGATGTTTTTGTGGAAGAGCTGAGGTAAGTTAACTAATCAGAGAGCTTTATTCTAGTCACGCGTTTCAAACCAGCCAATCAGAGAGCTGTTTTGTTTGCAGGTGATTCAAACTAGCCAATCAGAGAGTTGTAATTTTTTCATGTGATTCAAACTAGCCAATCAGACTCGGATAGCTGTATTCTTTTATCGTGGATCATACTAGCCAATTAGACATCTGTATTCCACATCACTCAGGTTTTTCAAGATCGAGAAAAAGATAGTAGACAAGTTCAACGCAGTGGACAAGTTGACTGGTATAGATCAGGTAGCAGGGGAATATGTGTGCCCGTTGCAGCAGAAAACCTGGCTGGTAAGATTTTCGAATATCTATCGTCTTTCTCAAAATTGGTCAAAATCGCTTTATTAATGCTTTTCATACAAGTTACAACAAAGTGCTATGTATCCTGGGTTTGGATATTACCCGCTTAAAATATTTCCATCCTGATACATAATACTCAATAAATGTAATAAATATTTTGTAGTGTTGTAATTTGTAGTTTATAATTCATTTTTTACCTGACTTAAATTTTCAGTTGTTTGATGATCCAAACTCAAGCAAAGTGGCAAAAGTCATAGGCTACCTCGACCAAATTGTGATATTATTGGCTGTGGCTGCCCAGTGCATTGAGTCTCTGCCGCTCTTGAGGAACAAATCTCTCGAAGAAGAAATCATCTTCAGTTCATACAGGTTAGTAAATTGGTGATAATGAAATAAACTGATAATTAGTATTATGAATGTCGGCAACTCCGTATTTCGACAAGAGCTGGTAATTGGTCGGTGCATATCCTGCACAATTGACTATCGTTTTGACAGCAGCAACTAACAGATTACTATTAATTCCAGAGTGAAGGACGCTAGTGAAGCTCTAGTAATGGTGGAGTATGCAAGCATAACATGGTTCACCATCATCTTCATAGTCCGAGCAGTATCCTGTCCAGACAAGATAGCTTTCTGCAAATCCATCCTAAACTGGCTGGACGTCCTGGCAGTGCTCCCTTTCTACCTCCAACTCCTCCTCCTCCCCACAAAACCCTACCTCACCGTACTCAGATTCTTCAGAACAATGAGAATTGTAAGGATCTTCAAGATATCCAGATATTTTGAGGGCCTGTTCGCGCTGGGTCGAGCTCTGAGCGCAAGTGCGGGAGAGCTGCTCCTTCTCTGCATCATGTTAGCAACATTCGTGGTGCTGTTCAGCAGTCTGATATACTTCACGGACAGTTGTGATATAAAGGAGTGTTTGAATGATGGGGAGGAGTGTGTTGTGAACGTGTGTGAGGAGGGACCCAACCAGTTCGACAGTGTAGTGGCTGGGTTCTGGTGGAGTCTGGTAACCATGTCAACAGTGGGTTACGGAGACTATGTCCCTAAAACACCACTGGGGAAGGTGGTGGGAGGAATGTGTGCCCTCACAGGGATCCTGGTGATCTCCCTTCCCTTCCCTCTCATCATCACCAACTTCAACAAGTTCATGAGGTCCCGAGCCACCAAGTCCAAGGTGTATGCTACGATAGCTGACGGGTACAGTGATGAGGTTCCCTGCCATATACCTGAATATACGGGTGTGGCCTACGGGTTCGAACTCGATGAGAAAAATCAAAAACAGAAAAACTTTTACAAGAAAATTGAGCAAAACGAGACTACAGCCGTGTGACATGAGTAATTCTTGAGATTTCATTTCTACTTTCTCTTTCGAGGGATAGGATATGAAGCTTTGCTATTAGCTGATGTGTGCAATTAATTCAGATGTCAGAATATATACATATACAGGGGACCAAAAGTCAGTACACACTACACATACGTTGGGGCTTATTTCTCAGTCACTATAAAGGGTCCGACTGAAATACTTCTTTCTGACACGAATTGCTATTATCACTCATTCGAAGAATGTAACAAATCAAATAATAACTATTATTATATGCTAATTTTATCCGATTGAACGTTCATTTTCGCGTGTTTTAGATATTTCGAATGATTGGATCTAGTCAAATTATTATGCATTGTGTTTCGCCTTATAAAATACACTTGTCCTTAAAACAAGCTGTAGCTAATCAGATGATCACGAATATAGACTATAGAGTTTATTCATTACATAAGATCTAATCAGGTGATTGGGTTGAAACCATATCCACACGGTGGGTGACGTGATCTAATTCGTCAAGTCACATTTTTAAAACGACAGTTGCGCCAGGATCTCCCGTTGCGCCAGGATCTCCCGTTGCGCCAGGATCTCCCGTTGCGCCAGGATCTCCCGTTCCCCTCCCCGCCTAGTCGTTAACTTTGGGAGGAGAAATTTAAACCTCCTGCACGATTTTCAGATACTTGCCCATTAACAATTTAGATTTTTGCAAAGAATTCCACTCCAGAATGGAAAAGTGCTGTAATTCTTAAATTGGCAAACAAATTATTAATTAAGATTCGATTGACGATATAGTCCTTATTCCCATTCAGCAAAGGAAGATAACTCATCGTGCTGTTATTCAATACGATAATAATGCAACAGATCAAGTCAAATAATAATCGTGACCTTGCAGTCTCATGACTGGGTGTTAAAGAATTTTAAGCCGGGCAACAGGGCCGTCTATATAATCTGCATCACAAAATATAATTGGATTTCATGATTAACAATAACATGGCGCAACTGTCGTATCTGATTAAGCGGTTTTTATATTTATCGGTTTTGATTCGTCATCTTCCCATGGTAACTTGGTATAGAATGGGTGAGAAAGGGCGCAACTGTCCGGCAGCCCTATTGGGATCGTGAAGAGAGCCTATAAATTACAGTGTCGTACTACTAAGGTACTAGCACGCTATCAAATGATTACCCAATCAGTTTTGCTAAAGATATCAACAAATTGCTTGATAACTTCGTCATTTTAAATCTGTTTCGCGTCATCTTTTCAGATAATATTCCGCATTTACTGACTTATTGCAATATGTTTAAATGGTGTTTCTAGAATTTTTGCAAAAATGAGTATAGTAATCAATTCAATGTTGAATGCGTGTGGCCTCTGAAAATCGAATTTTTTAATTTTTGCGACGGAATCTTCGAATGATTAGTTGCAGTATACCATCTGCAAAGTTACTGGTCTCAAATTAGAAATGCATGGCTGTTGGTATTTTATAAGAGCAAGCGTATGTGTGCTGACTTTTGGTCCCCTTGTATATAAAAGCTGCTGCTGGCGTGAGAGCATGGCGATTAACTTTTTTTCCACAAAGGCTCTGCGATTAATTCCTCTAGGAGCAACTGATTCAGCTGTACTTAATAACAATGATCTGTCTGACCCGGAAAGTCAGGCTAACGACCCAATAATATTAACACACGCGTGTGTGAACAGCAGCCGTTTTTAGAGAGCAAACAAAACGCCAAACACGGCCCAATTCAGCAATTCAACGTAGGGAGAGCAGGGTTGGACGCAAAGTACACTGTTTTAATCGTGCGGGGAGAGGGAGGGAGAGAGAGAGAGCTAGCGTTTCTCACAGCATTTCTCACACCGTTTCTCACAGAATACAACGTTTTACTTTGCTGTCACCTCCTGTCATGAGGTGCTTGTCACTTGGCAGATCTAAACAGTTATTGCCGAACAACACTAGCAGCGGCCTTATCGGTGAATGCTTTCACCTTTTCTCTTGCACATTTTGTCCGCTTGAAGTAAAATATTATTAGGAGCCGGTTGGATGAGTTTCACCCAACAGAATGTTCACTCTTCGACATCTAAGCCCATCCGCGTTTTGTTGAGGTTAAGGGTTTCGATGAGGGTTTACCTCAGGGTAAAGATTATGGCTTTTAAGGAAACGTTCTTGATTTATAATCTTAGAATCAAACGTTGTGAAATAAATAATCGAGCTGAGAATAGATTAGATTTAAATGACTGCTGTTGCAAATATTTAATAATTTTATTGAATAACTCAGACTATTTCTGTGAAGTTCTTACTAAAAACAAATATCATCCAACAATTAAAACTTACGAGTCAGAGTACGACTAATACATGAAATTGATATTCAGAGGTCTGCAAAATGTAATGTACAACACCTCCGATTAAGTCGTTTGCATTTGTATCTCGGCCAAATCAATTAAAGAAGACGTCTGTTCAAATGTTTAAAGGTTTCAACGTTCATTAACATTCAGACACTGGAGTTTGCAACACAATATTGTTTTGGTTCCCCGCTTAGTTTTCCAGAGTGTTACAGTTAATAATTTAGCAGCAATCGCGCTCTGCAAGTGCAATCTGTCACGGCTTATTTGCCGCAGTAACTGCACACAAGTACATTGTAGTTGCAAAAATTCACCAAGCAAATAGGACCGATCACTTCCGAGAAAACAGTTGACAGTCTGTAGCAATATAACAAAAGCACCCGTCATCGTTGCCGCGGTTCTGGAATTACATAATTTGTCCTGTTTTTCTGCATTTTTGTGTGCAATTTTGCAATAGAAATGATATTATTATTTAAGATTCGGGATCGCATAATTTACAATTTCCTATTGCACATAAATATTGCCTTTGGCTTTACTACAGATTGTACAGTTGAATTGGACGTTTTTGTTTCTGGAATGTTTGCAGCTTCGATCATAAAGAATCGAGTGTTTGTTCCTTCAAAACTGCTTGAAAATAAAAACCTCTTTAATGCTATATCCAAACTTCGATCAACTATTTGGAAATATTTTACACTAATTTGAGATCTTTGATAGCATTATTGCGATGATTACCCTTCTCGTTAAAAATATCAAAGGTTTGATCGTGATAACCTTGTAATGATAACAGTGTCATGATAAAGCCGGGTCGAGGTATAGATATTGATACTCTGGGCAAGCTTCTGCCGGATAAACCGGGGGACAGTAACGGGGCGGTGAAGAAACCCAAGAATACGACCAAGAATGACAACGCAGAACATCCGTGAGTACTCATAAGTCATATTTCTATTAGTATTGGTAGGGTATATTAATATGTAGTTCTACTTTTTAAAAGACGAACCAATGAGTAATGATTAAAAACAATTGTCTGTCAATAGTCAGTACGTATCTGATTTTTATTAGCGAATACTTTTGGTCAACAACTATATTTATTATTTTTCATCAAATTTGTTGATGATCAGTTTTCCACGTCGCGACCTATCATGTAGATGCACTATTAAGTAGTGTATAGGTTTGTAATTAGGATGATTTAATTGCGATCAGTGTTAATTCCGTCCAATTAACTAGGAAATACAACTCATTCATAACACACTACCTATTGTGTGATTTGCAATTGCATTATATGTATGTGATTTACATTAAACCTAAATTATGTTGAAAAACAAAATTCGTCGAAATATTTGTTAATTATGATTTAAAATCATTCAAGTACGTTACAACTCAAAAACAAAATTTAAATAAAATTACGGTTTGATCCTAAAGCAGCTGCTTATATTTGCAATGAAAAGTACTTATTGCAAGAGATCAGCCACGCAACTAATCAAATCAATTACTATAAAATGCATAAAGTAATGTTTGGTCTTATTTCTTTATTTGATAACATCAGGGTGTGTTGTTACCCAACAGGAGAAAGAGAAACAATTGCACCACCGGGTACGTTTAGATTAACTATAAAGTTATAAGGGAATATAGGGAACAACTACATGAGGACACAGTTTTAGGGTTGTAATTGTATCAATAATTGCATGATGCATTTAAGCCGGTTATACTTATAGCTAGCAGGATGAGTGCAAATGTGTTATCTAAATAAGGACTGGAGAGTTTATTATTTGGGATTGGATTGATTTCAGAGGAGATCCAGAAATCTCTCTCGCTGGAACGGGACTTTACCGAAACTGGGATTATCTGGTCGATCCAGGATTCTATCAGAAAGCAAACAAATCATTAACAAACCAATTATGGTTTCGTGTTAATATGAGTTTTCTGGTTTTCAAAGATGTGTCTTTATGATTTTTTGAGTTGGCAGCGCTCGAATATCATGTAGCACACAGATTACACATGTTACATAACTTTATGCATTATAATATTTAACGTAAACATAAATACTTAAATTATCTCAAATGGCATCTATGCCATGCCACGAAAACACACCGAAAACGCTAAATATGCATGCTACAGC